CATTCCTCTTGCTTCTGCCTCCTGAGTACTGGGATTATAGATATGTATCACCATACCTATTTTTTTTGGGGGGGGAGGGGTACTGTGGATTGAACTCAGGGCCACTTGAGCCACTCCATGAGTCTACAGTTTTTACAAGAATAATGGAATGCTATTAAATTTTGAGCAAATCACGTTAGAATACACACACAGATACACACACACGCACATCTCCAGGTTGGCTTTGAACTTGTGATCTTCCTGAGCACTGGGATTCCAGTGTGTGCCACCACACCTGTCTTAGAATTTATATTTTTAGAAAATCATTCTGGGTACATTATAGTGAATGAAAAGATGAAAAGGATACAAAAATGGAGTCAGGAAGTCTAGTTGAAAGGTATTTCAGTTTTCCACATTAAGGCTAAAGGGTCTTTTTTTTTTTTTTTTTTTTTTTTTAGTGAAAGTGATAAAGTTTATTAGGAAAGGAATATACTCTAAATAGATTGAAAATGGCTGACGGAGTGGCTCAAGTGGTAGAGCGCCTTCCTGCCAAGCAAGCATGAGGCCCTGATTTCAAACCCCACTGCCACCAAAAAAAAAAAAAAAAAAAAAAAATCTGGGGTAGAGTGAAAGTGTGTTGTCGCTACAGAAAATAACAGAATTTTTTTTAGAAAACATTTAAGATGCATTTTGGAAACACAAACCCAATTTAAAAAATGGGTAAAGAATTTGAATAGAAATTTCTCCAGATAAGATACACAGATGACTAAAAAGCACATGAAAAAAATTCTCAAAATCACTGATTGTTAGAGAAATAAAATCAAAACCACAAGATACCACCTTACACCTGTGAGCATGGTTACAATTAAAAAAATCAAAACAATCAGAAAATATTGACAAGTATATAGTAAAATTGGAACCCTTATGCACTGTTAGTGGGAATGTAAAATGGTACAGCTGCTATAGTAAACGCTATGTTGGTTCCTCAAAAAATCAGCCATAGAATTATATGACCTAGCAATTCCACTATTAGATAAAGACCCAAAAGAATTGAAAGCAGGGTCTCAAAGAGTTATTTGTATACCTAATACAAATATATAGCTGTATTAATCATAATAACAAAAAGATAGAAGCATCCCAAATGTCCATGAACAGAGGAATGACAATATATAATGTGGTGTGTACATACAATGGAATATTATTCAGCTTTAAAAAGAAGGAAATTCTGACATATGGTGTAATATGGATGAATGCTGAGGACATTATGCTAAGTGAAATAAGCCAGTCACAAAAAAGACATATACTGCTTGATTCTACTTATATGAGATTATCTACGGAATTCAAATTCATAGAAGAATGGTTGTCAAGGCTGGGGAGTTAGGGGAATAGGGAATTTAATAGGTATGGCATTCTGGAGATTGCACAACAATAGGAATGTATTTAACTAAAGAACCATACATTTAAATGGATAAAATGGTAAGTTTTATGTGTATTTTACCACAATTAAAAAACACACACACAAAAAAGATGTATTTTGGAGGTTGTAATTAGGCATCTTGGTTGCAAGTGATAGAAACCCAATTTGAACTAACTTAGGCAAAAGATAAGGGAGTCCTGATTTACTGGCCCATGAATCCAGGAAGAGTTGAACAAACCATGGGAGGGCAGAATATAGAGTCTCAGGTGCAACTGGAACCAGGGACTTGATAGCTTCTGGGATATGCTCAGTTTCTCACCTCTGCTGCTTTTTGCATGTTGGCGTCTTTTTCTTTGCAGACCAGCTTGCTCCATACGGCAGGAGACGTGGCTGCTGAGAGCTCCTGTGTTTTACATTTTATGGCTTCCACATTGGAGAAGAATGTTCTTTCTCAATTTCAGTTCAAAAAATTCTTGGTAAGGAATTCTGACTGACCCATCTTGGCCCAGGATCAGTGACCAAGGGTGTGAGGTCATTTAAGAAGTACCAAGCAATAGAAGTATTTACAGAAACATGAAAAAGAAACAAAATGAGATGTATAACATAATATCAGTTACATATACATGTAAAACATTATATATTATCCAAAGATACATGTATATTCAAGGACATATCAAACACATCAGTCACTACCCAAGTTTGACGAGATGGAACATGAGTGGGAATTGAAATGAAGAGCAAAAAGGTAAGAATGGCCTTGTTGGCAGTGAACAAAATACTGGCTCAATTCTCTGCACCTGAGGGAAAATCAAGCAAAAAAAGGGAATGATGGAAGAAAGAAAGAAGGAAAAAAAGCAACGAGAAAAAGAGAAAAATGTATTTTTTTTTATTATTTTATTATTCATATGTGCATACAAGGATTGGGTCATTTCTCCCCCGAAAAATGTATTTCTGAGTGGGAGTGAATTGAATGTGCGGAGTGAGGAAGATGGAGGTATCAAAGATAACGCCTGGATTTTGACTTAGATGGTGGTATAATTCATTGAGTTTTTTTTTTTTTTTTTTGGAGACAAAGTCTTGTTATGTAGCCCAGGCTGGTCTTGAATTTATGATCCTCTGCCACAGACTACTGAGTGCTAGGATTAGACACCTGGCTTAATTTACTGAGATTTAAGACTAGTGAATAAGTATTTGAGAGAAAAACCAGAAATTTGATAAACTAAGTTTGAATTGCTTATAAGGCATCTAAGAGAATATCTTGTTTTTTTTCTTTACTGTTTAAAATATTTTATTGCAAGTTTGGCAGTACTGGGGTTTGATCTCGGGCTCATACTTGCTAGGCAGGTGCTCTCCTACTTGAGCCACTTTGTCAGCTGCTCTAGTTATTTTGAAGATGGTGTCTCACAAACTATTTGCCCGGACTGACCTCAAATTTTGATCCTCCAGATCTCAATCTCGTAAGTAGCTAGGATTACAGGTGTGAGCCACCAGCGCCTAGCTCCAGTTTATTAAATAATAAAAGCATTATGGCTACAAATTTTCTCCAATACTGCTTTAATGATATACCTGGATTCAGTTATGCAATATTTTCATTATCTTAATTTCTAAAGAACCCATGATCTTAGTCTTGTTTGTTTATTTATTTACTGAGATGAGGTCTTGCTATGTTGCCCAACTGGGTTGCAAATTCCCAAGTAGCTGGGACTACAGGTGCATATTATTGCACCTGGCTGTTCTTTTTTGACTTGAGTTATTTAAAACTTTATGTTTAACAAAGTTACAAATGGTTAGAAATTTTCTGATTTATTTTATTTTATTTTTTTATTTTCGGTGGTACTGAGGGTTGAACTCAGGGCCTTGTGCTTTCTAGTTAGGAGCTCTATCACTTGAGCCACTCCACCAGCCCTGGAATTTTTCTTAATTTGTATACATTTCTAGTTTAATTACTTAAATTATTATTATTTATTGACTTATTATTTAAGTCAGTAAATGTGACTTGTACAGTTTTCATTTTTAGATACTGAATTCATCTGTCCCCCGTTGTACACCATCAAATCCCCTTTCTTTCACAAAGTTAACCACTTTAAAATGTTTGGTATGTATTCCACACTTTTGTGATGTGCTCATATAGAATAGAAATTTACATATATAATAAATGGTTTTGCTGCACAGAGAACCATACTATATATATTGTTCTACAAATAATTTTTAAAGGAAAAACATTTAATGATACATCATAAATACTGTTACACATCAACACATAAAGGTATTTTAATTCTTTAAACTCAGAAACTTTCAACGTAACAGGCCTAAATATGTTTGTCTTTTCATTTCTTTTTCTTCTAATTTTTTTTTTCCTAGTACTGGGTGTTAAACCCAGAATATGCTAGGCTATCATTGAGTCACACCTCCAACCCTTTTAAATTTTATTTTGAGACAGGGTCTTGCTAAATTGCCTGGGCTGGCTTTGTGCTTGCAATCCTCTGCCTCAGACTCCTGAATGTGTAATCCTAGCATTCACAAATGAATGCTAGGCAAAGCCTGCCTGCCCGGCTTTGAATTAGTTTTAAATACTTTGTCCTATTTCTCTCATATCTGTTAGCAAAGGTTGCTTTTTGCTCTGGCCACTCAAGTCATTTCCCTTTTTTTGAGCTGTTTAATCTTTTCACACAGTTCTTGTTTTTCTCTTTACGCTTAACCTTCTGATGTGAAGTTGTCTGTCACATAATAGGAATACCTCTATTAGGGTCAAGTCTTTTATGCTCAAAGAAAAATTGGTAAGTATTCTTTGAGGGTTTAGAGGTCAATGGACAGACGGTGTGCGGCCTCAAGAGGGAGGGAACCTTGGGGAGGCGTTTCCCCACATCAGTTTTTTATAGAGGCTCATGGTCAAAAACGGTCAAAGTACCCGTTTTTTGGTCTGGTTAAAATTTAAAAATGGAATAAAAAAATCAACTTATCCAAAGAAGTAATTTTTTAAAAAACCCACAGTGATCCAGAAATTCCCAAATCGACTGGTAACGCCTCCTGATTTACTTCCACCCCACTTTCTTCAGCAAGAGCCAACCATACTGAAAATATTTTTTAAACGTCAGAAGGTTTGGGGATGAACTTGGCCTTAAAGAAAAAAAGACTTCCCCTGGGCAACTTACTTCCTCAGTTCCCTGGGATTTGGTTTCCTTATCTTAAACACGGGGATAATGATTACTCTTACAAGATCTTTAAGGTTCCCCAACAAAAGCCTAGGACTCTAGTCCGGGCCCGTGACGGGAGACCCTGGCGTAAAATGACTGGAGAAGGCAGGATTGTGGGGTGTCTCCGCCAGCTCGAGCCCCACACCAGCATCATTGTCCTGGGTGGCCACCAAACAGCACCTGCAGTCACCGCCGCGAACACCCGCCTCACACCACACCACACCTTACCTCACCTCGCCTTGCTTCGCCTCACCGGAGACTCTTACCTGTAGCCGCGGCGCACCTTCCTCGGCCACAGGTCTGCGCACGCGCAGCGTACGGCTCTCCCGCCTACCTCAAACGCGCGTTCTGGAGTTTTTCCGTCCAGTTCGGCCACCGTCGTTGGAGGGAGGGCAGGCGGGAGGGGGCGGGGAAAAGGGTGGGAGTGAGTGAGCGCGCGCCGCCCGTCCGTCGTGGTTTCCTGGCTGCGCGCGGCGCCGGCGGAGTTGCTGCAGCTGTAGCACCAGCGGCGAAGATGGCGGAGGGGTTGGAGCGTGTGCGGATCTCCGCCTCGGAGCTGCGAGGGATCCTAGCCACTCTGGCTCCCCAGGCCGGGAGCCGAGGTGAGTCGCACCGCCCAGCTCCTGGGCTGGGTCTGCCCGCCCCGCCTCCCTCTCCACCTCCTCCGCCTCCTCCCAGTCCGGCCCGCTGCGCTTCGGAGCCCCCGCCCCTTCCCCCAACAGTGGGGGCGGGGACCAGGGGCCGCAGGCGGGTCCTAGGGCGGGTGCGGGGTCCTGCTCTGCCAGCTCTGGCCCCCTCCGGGACAGCCCAGCCTGAGTTCCAGCCTCCATCCTCTTTCTCACCGCGAAAGGTGACTGTTTCTTAGTGCCCCAGTCCTCTTAGACCAGCCGGTGGATTTCGTCGTCAGGAGACGCGAACGCGATTGGGTGCTGGGGTCTGGTGGCGGCCCTGGTGTATATCGTTTCCAAAAGAATTTTTCGCGGGTCTGCGGCCGTCATCTGTTCGAAGTCGAAGAGGAGGAGCTGGGGAAATGGGGGAGAAAGGCTTAACAGACTGGGATTTCCTCACTCAACTTTTTCCCCCAAGGCAGGCTTCTGAAAGCTGCGCCACTGGAGGTTCCAGGATCTCAGGGAGCTGTGTCTACTCCGGTTTGTGTGGCGTGTGTGGGAGCAGTTTTTATCAGAGAGAATGCTCAGTTTGCCAGTTAAAGACTCCAGCCACATTGGGAACGCGCCTGGAAAAAGTCTAAGTGTTTCAACCCTCCTTTGTTAGGTTGTGAAGTTGTGTACTAATGGTAGCTATAGCACGTTGGTTTTCTTCAGTCACTTGAGCCGGATTATTCAGGCTGCTTTCCCTCTGTGCTCTGGAAGGTAGTAGTAGCTCTTCAGAGAGCTAAGCTACAACGTTTTCTGAGAATTGTGAAGCTTAAACTGCTTTATCTTCTTTCATACTTGATGATGAGTCTTGGGTTTTTTATTTTGTTTTGTTTTTTGTGGGGGAGGGGGGCCGGGAATTGAACCCAGGGCCTCCTGCATGCTAGGCAAGAGTTGTCCCTTGAGCTACGCCTCCAAACCGGTGAAGAGTTTTTTAAAACTATTTTTTTGGGTCGATATTGGAGTTTGACTTCAGGTCCTGGCGATTGCTAGGTAGGCGTTTTACCACCTGAGCCAGGCTCCAGCTTGTGGGTTTTGTGTGAGAGTGTGTGGTGTGGTACTGAGGTTTTGAACTCAGAGCCTCTCATTTGTTAGGCAGGCACTTGAGCCACTCTATCAGCCCTTTTTTGTGATGGATTTTTTCGAAATATGGTCTCATGAATTATTTGCCTGGGCTGGCACAGGCAACATCCTCCTAATCTCTGCCTCCTGAATAGCGGGATTATAGGCATGAGTCAGTGACACCTGGCTGAGCCTATGTTTTAAACTCATGAAAATACCAAAGCAGTATCTTAAATTTCAGTTTCATTTTTTTCATTTTGTTACACCCACAAAAAGTGGGGTAAATGCTGGAGCATCTGGTATCTGCTATGGACTTGTTTGCATTTATGTTTATAGTACAATTCAATACTAGCAATTTATATAGCATTCCATTTTGTGTACCAGATAATATCCTCACTAATACCTCTCACTTTCCTGTTTTGTAGCTATTTGTAGTAGTCTCCCCACCTTAATAAAGGTAACAGATACTTACAAAAACCATATACTTGTTTATCTTTCTCTCAATAAGTTGATGTTGCCTAGAGAGTGGCTTATAAAATCCTGTACTCGTTTTTTTTTTTTAGAGGTTCTGGGGTTTGAACTCAAGGCCTCATGCTTGCTAGGCAAATGCTTTACCACTTGACCCATTCCACCAGTCCCTGTACTCCTTTTTAAAATAACTTTTTATTTATTTACTTTTGGCAGTACTGAAGTTTGAACTCAGGGCTTCGTGCTTTCTAGGAAAGTCCTCTATCACTTGAGACATACCCCCAGCAACCTGTATACTTATTCTTGAGTGCCCCAGTCCTTGGTACTTTGAGCGCATATAACAATCCTTCCATCATTGTCCATGGAAAACTCCTCTGCAGAACTTTTTTCTTTATATTCCATCATCATAGTAGCAGTTAGTCTCAGTATTCTAATGATGATAGTTAAAACAGTATTTTCTTGAAATGATTGCTGGCTGCTATTACAGAGCTGGTGAGGATGAGTACACTTGAAGAATGGATAAAGAACTGCTTCATGTTTTGCTTCAGTAGGAGGAGTGGGTTAGGTGATTGGTTTTCTAAAGAAGAGGATTTTCCTTGTCACTTTTACAGACTGGAGTTGCACGTTTTTTTCTCCAGAGATATCTAAGATTGTAGATTGTTATGTATACCCCTTTTCTTTTTCCTCCCCTTGTACTCTGTAATTTGTATATATATAGTGTGTGTGTGCCTTTTTTTTGGTACTGGGGATTGAACCTAGGGCTTTGTGTATGTTAGGCCAATACTGTACCACCAAGCTACATCCCTAGCCCTGCTTTAAAAAATTTTTTTTAAACTTTGAAACAGGATCTCGCTAAGTTGCCCAAGCTGTCCTCAAACTCACAGTCTCCTGCCTCAGCCTCCTCTGTGCTGGTATTACAGCCTTTTTTTTTTTTTTTTTTTTGTGATGCTGAGGATTGAACCAAGGGCCTCTTGCATTAGGCAAACACTGTACTACTGACTACATCCTCAGCCCCATTTTAATATTAAAAGAACTTAGCCACCCTGGAAAAAGTTAGAAGCAGAAGAAAAGACTGAGATGGAATCATGGACTCTAGAGACAGAGAATAGTTTAATGCTGAAAATGTTAGAGATATTTTATTTTGACAATAATGAAGTAGTTTGGGGTCTTGGGGATCTGAATTACAACTTGGGTAATTCAAATGAATATTGGTTTTCTTCTCCCATTTCCCCAACCCAAGTGTAGGTAGCTGTAACAGTTAAGTTCTTAGCCTGCTCGTGACTGAACAAACATTATAAACCAAGCATGTCTGCCTTTGCGGAAACATTGTTCTCTCCCTACTGATACTAGCATTTGAATATGTAATTCTTCTTTGATTTTTTTTTTTGTTACTTAACCAGAATGACAATTTTTCCCCTCCCTCCTCCTTTATTCTCTTCTTTTACCTTTTCCTCCTCAATCCTCTCTGCAACATAACAGAAAACATGAAGGAATTAAAGGAGCCCAGACAGCGCAAAGATAATAAGCGTCCAGATCTCGAAATCTATAAGCCTGGTCTTTCTCGACTAAGGAACAGACCTAAAATCAAGGACCTCTCTGGGAGTGAGGAACTTAAGGATGAAATTGCTAATGACAAAGATTCTTCTGCTGTTGGAAATGGTACACAGCTCATTAAAGATGTCTGCAGGGAATTGGACAGCCAACAGCAAAATGGTCCTATAGACTCAGAAAAAAATCGGGCACGAGAGACTTTTCTTAGGACTGCTGGACAAGAGGATCGAACTCTAAGAATCATCAAGAGAACAAAGAAACCAGACCTTCAGATCTATCAGCCTGGACGCCGTTTGCAGACTGTCACCAAAGAGTTGGCTAGCCGGGTGGATGAAGAAGGAATCCTTAGCCAGGTGGAACAGTTGAGAGTAGAGGAAGATGAGTTCAGGGGAAAAGATGTAAAAGAGGAAGTTGTAAATAAATCAGACAAAGCTGAGACAGAAAAGAACCAGAGTAATGACAGAGGAAGGACTGTAAAAGGAGAAAAAGGAAAAAGGACTGAAAAGGGGGAGGGGATGAAGAAAATGAGTGATGACCCAGCCCAGGGGAAGCCATGTTCTGCAAAGCGCTACTCCCGCTCAGACAAACGAAGGAACCGCTACCGCACTTGTAGTACCAGCTCAGCTGGTAGCAACAACAGTGCTGAGGGAGCTGGCCTGACTGATAATGGATGTCGTAGACGCCGTCAGGATCGGACTAAGGAAAGGCCACGACTGAAGAAGCAAGTATCCTTATCTTCAACTGATTCCTTAGATGAAGACAGAATTGATGAGCCCTATGGATTAGGGTCCAGGAGGAACTCAGCAAGGAAGAAGCATTTAGAAAGAAACTGGTCTGGTCGTGGGGAAGGTGAGCAGAAAAACAATGGTAAAGATAATCGAGGCACTCTTCGGGTCACTTTTGATGCAGAAACCATGAACAAAGATTTCCCTATGGTGAGGTCATCCAGGGAGGATGTGGATAGGATAAAGCCAGACAAAGGCTTGAGCAGTGGGGGCAAAGGCTCTGAGAAGCAGGAGTCCAAAAACCTGAAACAAGAACTTCGTGGTCGTGGTCGTGGTATTCTGATTCTTCCTGCCCATACTGCCTTATCTGTCACTTCAGCAGGTTCTTCAGAGCCCACACCTACAGGACCTCGACTTTTATTTGGATCTAGTAATAAAGGATCTCGGAGTTGGGGCCGTGGAGGTACCTCCCGCCGACTATGGGACCCAAACAATCCTGATCAGAAACCTGCTCTAAAGAGCCAGACACCTCAGCTACATTTCTTAGACACTGATGATGAAGTCAGCCCTACATCTTGGGGTGACTCACGCCAGGCCCAAGCATCTTACTATAAATTTCAAAACTCTGACAACCCCTATTATTACCCTCGGACACCAGGCCCTGCCTCCCAGTATCCTTATACAGGTTATAGCCCTCTACAATACTCAGTGGGCCCTACAAATGGTGTTTTCCCAGGGCCTTACTACCCAGGCTACCCGACTCCATCAGGGCAGTATGTATGTAGCCCTCTCCCTGCCAGCACTATGAGTCCTGAGGAGATAGAGCAGCATGTGAGGAGTATGCAACAACAGGAGTTACATAGGCTTCTCCGGGTGGCTGACAACCAGGAACTGCAGCTCAGCAACCTGCTTTCCAGGGACCGCATCAGCATTGAGGGCATGGAGAAAATGGCGCAGCTCAGGTATGGTATGTTCTATTCTGGCTAGAGGGAAATGGGAATAAACTGGAAGTGTATAGACTCCCGTGACTAAGGAAAGTAGGAAGTTTTTAGGTGAGTCATTGGGATTTCACATTGTTTTTTTTTTTCTTCTTGTGGTGCTGGGGAACAAACCCTGGGCCTTGTGCATGCTGGGTAAGTATACCACTGAACCACACCCCTAACCGCCTCACATTGATGTACGGGAGGGACAGCTGGAAAGAACAGAAGTTTTTTTTGTTTTTTTTTTTTATTCGCTTATTCACATGTGCATACGTTGTTTGGGCCGTTAAGAACAGAAGTTTTGGTTCTAGTTTTAGAAATGAGTATACTTAATACTCTTTAAGAAAAAAAAATTATCTTTAACGGAACATAAAATCTTGAAAAGGAAGGACTTTTCCAGAATGCCAAGAAATGAACAACATGCAGTGAAGATCTTATTTCAGCTGTTAAATTTAGTTGTGGACATATCGGGAAACACTATTTTCTTAGACATAACTGTCTTTGGACAGTTATGCTGTGCAGAATACAAACTAATGTGAAAAGGATACCGGGTCACATTTTGTATTTTTTTGTCAAGGGAGGAGGTTAATTGGAGGAAAGCTCGAATCTTGGGTCTGGCCTTTCCTTTGATGTATTTGGAACTAGAAGTCTGTATGCATTTTATTGCAGAGCTGAACTACTGCAGCTGTATGAGCGCTGTATTCTATTAGACATTGAATTCTCTGATAATCAGAATGTGGATCAGATCCTGTGGAAGAATGCTTTCTATCAGGTGATTGAAAAGTTCAGGCAGCTTCTCAAGGATCCAAATATTGAAAACCCAGAACAGATTCGGAACAGACTCTTGGAGCTCTTGGATGAGGTAAACCATCATTTTGTCTTCGGGATAAAGGCTTCAGCAACCTGTAGTCTTGATAGATTTTTACCACCTGAAGTACTGTCCTTTAGTACAGAATATTGACAGAAAACTTTATACTTTTTTTTTTTTCTTGCAATACCGGGGATTGAACTCAGGGCCTACACCTTGAATCACTCCACCAGCCCCTTTTTTTGTGAAGAGTGTTTTTGAGATAGGGTCTTGTGAACTATTTTTCCAGGCTGGCTTCGAACCACGATCTTCCTGATCTTTGCCTCCTGAGTAAAGAGGATTACAGTCATGAGCCAACAGCTCCTGACTCTGCATGGCTTTTGATATATATAGTTATGAAAACTTTGAAGCAACTGAGGCAAATGGAATAAGAAAATATTTGCTTTGACTTTAACTGCCATGTAATGTATGTATATTGAAAACAAGGAAACATGAAAAGTGAATAGTTAATTAAAATGGTAGGATTTTAAACCAGGCATGGTGGTGCATGCCTATTTTGGGGGGTTACTAGGGTTTGAACTCAGGGCCTCACACTTGCTAGGTAATCACTCTACCACTTGAGCCACTCCACCAGTTCTGTTTTGTGTTGGGTATTTTCCAGATAGGGTCTCTTGAACCTGAGTGGCTCCAAAATGAGATCCTCTTGATCTCTGCTTCCTGAATAGCTAGCATTACAAGCATGAGCCATCTATGCCCAGCAAAACTTTATACTTTTTTTCTTGAGTTTAGGCCTTACTACCTATACTTTCTTAGGAGTATATCTTATTGACAATTAGTATTAGTTTTATGCTTGATAGCTTTTCTGAATGCCTTGGTTTCCAGGAGCGAGAAGAGAAAGAGCACATGTGTTTGTGTATTTTCTTATATCTTTAAAACCATTGAGAGGCTTATACAATGAATTTATCTTGTACTCATTCTAAATACCAATGTGCCTCCCTTCACATGGGATGTCTGAGTATTGGCAGAACTGTGAAAGGGTCATTTGCTGCAGTGAATAGGATAAAAATAGGTTGATTCAGATATTTCTTTTTTCTCTTTATAGGGTAGTGACTTCTTTGATAATTTGCTTCAGAGGCTGCAGGTTACTTACAAGTTCAAACTGGAGGACTACATGGATGGTCTTGCCATTCGCAGCAAGCCATTACACAAGACAGTAAGCCAGCTTCTTTATCTTAAATCTGTTTATGTATTTGTAAGCATTTATCTAGTGCTAGTTAAGTGCTAGGCACTGTGCTGGATATTGAGGGTTTAAGAGTGAAAGATGTAGTTCACTAGGGGAACAAACAGATGAAAACCAGTAATTGTAATGTCAAGTACTTTGGAAAAGGTATACATAGAATGGTGTAGAGGCATAGAGAGAAGTGGTTCTAACTTAGGCTAATAGGGTAAAGGAAGGCTTCTCAGAGACTGTCAGGCTGGGTCCTTTTTTGTGTGTGTGTGTGTGTATGTATGTTTCTGAGGATTAAACTCAGGGCCTCATGCACTGTAGTCCTGAGTGATATCCCAGCAAAATTGAGTCCTGAAATATAAAAGAGTGTGAAAGATGGGAGGGGTAGTTTAGATGGCACAGTGAGAGAGAACCAGATGCTATTGAGAAAGTGCAAGAAATTCAGCATGCTGGTGTTTATAATGGGAAGTGGGGCTGTTGAAGGAGTCAGTGAAGTAGGAAGCAGTTAGATCAAAGGTTTTTGACTGCCATGCTGAAGAGTTTGTATTCTGTAAGCAGCATTGGGGAGCCATCAGCTACCTATTTCAGAAAATACATAACAAAGATTTGCTCTTTTTTTGATGGTACTGAGGTTTGAACTCAGGGTCTTGTGCTTAGTAGGCAAGTGCTCTACCACTTGAGCCATACTTCCCAACTCCAGATTTGTATTTAGAATCAATCATTTTGGCAAATTGGTGGGTTTGGATGGCAGTTGATCAAGAGTGGAGTTAGGGGAGTCAGGCTATAAACATAGATTAAGGTAGAGACAGTTGCTGAGTAGGTGGAAAAAAGAAGGCAGATTAGAAAGATAGGAAACTAGAATTGAATTGCTGGACACTTGGTGTGAAGGCTAAGATTGAAGGCCCAGTTTGTGGCTGAGTGAGGGTAGTGACTGTAAAGGAAGAGGTAAATTTAGGCTTGGAAGCCTCAGCCTCCCAAGAGCTGGGATTACAGGAATATGCCACATTGCTTGACTCTTATTCCTTTGATGAATTATTCTGTTAACATTCTCTTTTACTAATCAAGAAGTATTTACTGAGCTGTTCTTTCATGGTAGGTACCAGTCTAGGCAAAGGTAATTCAATGCAGAATAGAAAAGCTATGATCCCAGTTGAGGGTGAGGGAAAATGTTGGATGAATAATTGCTGGGTTAGTGGACTTTGGAAAAGGTGTTGTGGGTATATCTTGTAAAGAGGTTAACTTGGTCTAAGGAGGCTAAAGACCTCAGACGTTAGCCAGGTGAAGGTATATGGGAAGACAGGAAGAAGAGCATTATAGAAGGGAAGAGACAGTGTGACTGAAGATCCGGAAGTGGAAAAGGTGTGGCGTGTTAGGGGAACTGATCTCACTGAGGCATAGAGAGGAGTAGAAAGTGGTCCTCAGAGGTGATTAGAGGCTCCAGCATCTAGGATCTCATTCTGATGATGATAGAGAACCTCTGAAAGATTGTGTTTTGCATTTTCGCTGTCATTGAGATGGCAAAGTGGCTGTAGCATGGTGACAATAACCAGTTTTCTTTGTGCTTTATCAGTTAAATACCTAGGGTTTTTTTTTTTTTTTTTGCGCTATTTGTTCATCGAACGTGTGGAAGAGTCAGGACTCTGAGAGTGTGTGGCATGATGTGTAACTTTGCTGAGGCACAAATTTGAGTTATGTGCCGAGGTTGATGCACAGCAACCAGTTAACTTAGCTTCCTCAGGAATGTCTATTTTCAGCGAAGTTTTGTGTTTAGTTGGTGACATGTTAATTTTTTTGTAGAGTGGAAATGTTAATTAGATGTTGTGAAATAATGCTCCTTAGGGAGATGTTTTTGATTAGGCCCATGTCTTAGAATTGTTAAGAGTTCACTTTGTTTTTTCTCACTGATATATTCCAAGTCTGTCAGTGAGAAAACATAGTTATAGTACTGAGGCTATCTAGCACGTTGTAGGTATTTGGTAAAAAGTAACTTTTTTAGATGAAGAGAATGTAGTATAGTGTGTGAGGAAAGACTATAATGATGGCAGGAAAAGAACAGAGTAACCAATTGTCTTAATATTTGTATACACTTTGTTTCTTCATTTATTCCCTCCATTTCCCTATAGAATATATATTTTTATAGTCAGATGAAGGGTCCCAGGGACTTCCTTGGAATCACATACAATTACAAAGTCAGGTCTCCTGACTCTTAGTTTTGGAATGTCATCTTCCATTTGCCCTGAGAGTCAAAAATAAGATGCACCCTCTCCGCGTTCTGCCACTGTGACCCGGGCCGTTGCGCTTGCCAGGCAGGCGCTTCTACCAGTTGAGCCACTCCGCCAAGCCCTTTGTGTATGGGTATTTTTGAGAGAATAGGGTTCTCTAGAACGTATTTGGCTTCAAACCTGGCTCCTCCTTGATCTCTGCCTCCAGATAGCTAGTTTACAGGCATGAGCCACGGTACTGGCGGCCTACCATGCTCTATCAGTAAAATTTTGTCATGCTATTGCGTGTTTCAGTTAGTAAGGTTAGGCCTGAAAACTTTGTACGTTAACAATTAGTCCTCAGTCAATGCTATTGTTCATTTTGGCTGGCATCCCTGTCCTTTGGATCAATTGGTGTTTTGAGGGTAACTCTTACTAATTGATTGTTTCTCTCGAAGTAAAATATGCCTTGATCAGCGCCCAGCGATGTATAATTGCAAGGAGATATCGCTAGGTATCGGAGCAAGCCAATTGATACAGCAAAAACTATGGGAATCACGCAGGTATCTTTCTCAGTTGTTATTCCTCTTCCCTCTGTGCATAAGAGAACCTATGGAAGCAGTGGTCCACTTAGCTGCATTCCTGTGGAGTCCTACAGGTATCACTATTGTCTCTTTAGTCATCTTTACCATTCCAGGGGCAACATCGAGCTCATACCCTCCAGATATGCCTTAATAGTAGTTATCAGAATGAATGGGGAAAAGGTGATATCTGGAACTAGCATTTTCTTACTGTTTTCTCTTTCTAGTTGTACTGAAGCCCAGCACATTGCCTCCCAAGAATGGACGCCCCATATAATCAGTTGGCTTTGCTGCAGTGTATACCGTAAGAATCCTGTGGCCTGAGACAGGTCTGCTATGAGCCTAGGCTGGCCTCAATCTTTAATCTCCGTGCTTCAGCTCCCAAATCCTGGGGTTATAGCCTTATACCACTGCACCGTCTGAGTTTCTAAAATATGGGTTTTTTTTTTTTTTTTTGTGTATGGGGTTGAACTCAGGATCTACACATTGAACTACTCTACCATCCCTTTTTTAGTGATGGTTTTTTTCAAGATATGGTTGTGAACTATTTTGCCTGGGCTGGCTTTGATCCTCAGTCCTTCTGATCTCTACCTCTTGAGTAGCTAGAATTACAAGTGGGACATTGGCTCCTGGCAAACATAAATACCAATTGGCTGTTTTTTTTTTTTTTTTTTTTTAATGGCACTGGGGTTTGAACTCAGGGCCCTTGTGCTTGTAAAGCAGCACTCTTCCTGCTTGAGCCACTCTTCCTGCCCCCCAAAAGTTTCTTAGTGGTATAAAATCATTGTCCAAAGAAGCAGTATTGGTTTTTGGTTTTTTTTTTTTTTTGTGTTATCGGGGTTTGAACTCAGAGCCTACACCTTGAGCCAGTCTAGCAGCCCTATTTTTGTGAAGGGTTTTTACGAGATAGCGTCTCTCAAACTTTTTGCCTGGGCTGGCTTGAACCGTGATCCTCCTGATCTGTGCCTCCTGAGTAGCTAGGATATGCAGGCTGAGCCACCAGCTCCTGGCCTGAGCCAC